GATCATAAAAGAAATGCAGCATGGCTCAGAAACAGCATACAGACGAGCTAGATGTAAGAAGATATATTCAGCATGGGGACAACCATAGTGTTAGAAGTTGTAAATTATCTAACGTACACTACCGGTCAAAGGTTTTAGAAAACCACACTTTTTCCAATTTTTTACTGAAAACCATTCAGTTTTTTGTGTCATTGCATTCTGAAATGAAAGCATAGAACAAACAAGCAATTTTAGTTGAAAAATAATTCATGGAATCAATTTATAGACCAAAATATATTCCAAACTTTTAATAACTAGACAGAAGAGTGAAAACCAAGCAGCCTACAAGTGCCACACATTTATGGGAACTTCTACAACACACTTGGGAAGAACTTCCTGAACAATATTTGATTTCTGTTGTAGAAAGAACGCCACGAGTGTGTTCAGCTGTTAAACCAGCTCAATGGAGTTTAAGTCTGGAGACTGTGCTGACCACTCCATGTTTTCAAGCTTACCATCTTGTTCTTTTTCCTGAGGCAGTTTTAGCATAGATTGGACTTGTGTTTTGGGTCATTATCTTGCTGTAGGATGAACCTCTGACCAACTAGGTGCATACCAGAGGGTATTGCATGGCGCTGCAGAATGCTGTGGTAGCCGTTTTGGTTCAGGGCACCTCTCACTCTGTACAAGTCACGGACCCTGGATCCAGCAAAACAGCCCCAGACCATCACACTCCCTCCTCCATGTTTGACAATTGATGTCACACACTGTGGAACCGTCCTCTCGCCTACCTGATGACGTAGAAAGATCCTGTTTGATGAAGCGAAGATTTGAAATTTTGAGTCCTCAGTCCATAATACCTTCTTCCAGTCTTCAGTAGTCCAATGGCGGTGTTTCATGGCCCAGGAGAGCCTCTTTGTCTTATTCTGACGTCTTGGCAATGGCTTTCTGCTGCAACTCGTCCTGTCAAACCTGCAGCTCGAAGTCTTCTCTTCACAGTTGAAACTGAGACTTCCTTACTACGACCACTATTAAATTGTGCTTGAAGCTGTTGTCCTGTGAGCCGCCTATCACGCAAGCTGATAACACTCAGAAACTTGTTCTCTGATTCAGGTGTGCCTTTGGGTCTGCCAGACCGCTTCCTGTCAGAGTTTCCCCCAGTTTCTGAGTGCCCTTTGATGGTGAAGAAAACTGTACTCACTGACACTTTTGACTTCTTTGCAATTTCCCTGTAGGAAAGACCTCCATCTTTAAGTGTTATGATGGTCTGTCTCTCTTCCATTGTTAATTGCCTTTTTCTCGCCATTTTNCAAGCAATGGTGTTTTTCTGTCCAAAGAGTTGGATGTTATTGAATGTCCTTCACCCCATCTGAGCTGTCACAAAAACTGTGATTTCCACTGATAATACCTCTACCAAGTCTGAAGCCCTTACCCATCTGTTTTTAAAAGCTAGCTGGTGCAGATTGCACACTGTCTGTGGCACTATTTTTGGAGGAGGACCACTGCAGCCCTTTTTAGTGGTACTATGGCTTGTTTTATACCTCACATTGTTTTTAGTTGTTCATAAGAGCCATCTTAAAAATAATGAATCAGAAATAGATGAATAAATAAATCATCTTAGAAATAATGCAATTATTGAGAGGTGATATCATTTTTTAATGATTTGTCATTTAAGTGGGGGGGCTGGAGTCTATCCCAGCTGACTTAGGGCGAAGCCAGGGAACACCCTGGACAGGTCACCAGTCTATCGCAGGGCTACACTTAGAGACAGACAACCAAGCACTGTTGTATACTAGATATGTTGTTTTAGTTTCTATTGTTTCTTGCTGCAGTCATACAATACAAATTCCTCTGTTTCCTGTGTATGGGCAGTGTTTCCTTTTGTAACAGAGATATTAGTATACAAGTAATGGGTGACTCAGAAATATCCTACTTTACCTCATCAGCCAAGAGGGAAAGTTCGCTGGAATCATGTGCATCATAGTCATACAGGACCTTGGCCTTTCTGGTGCCAGTCACAGGAAGCTGTGTCTGCTCCATAGCCAGTGTGCTAGGCCTTTGGCCTGACGAGGAGGAGACTGTGGCCCCAGGAGATGATGGTCCGGACAGGAAAGCAGAGGAGACAGGGTCGGGGCAGACAGCAGCAGAGGAGTGCGGTGCGCCAACAGCATTAGCACATCTGTGTGAAGATTAGAAAACAAATTAAGGATGTGAGTGTTTACGTGGCACCCCTTCTTCATTTATCAGGGCAGATACTCTTCCTGATGGCAGAACCACAAACACTGAACAGCCATGCTTGACAGATCGAGCCATCTATTTGGAAGTATGTGGAAGAGCAACTACAGTGATGGAAATATGTAAATGCAATAAATCTGAAGGGAGTGACTAAACTGGTCCCTCTGGACAGAAGACCGTGACAAAATGAGGTCACCTGTCACTTGATTTTCCTTAATTTCATTAATTCAAGTCTTTGTTTGATGCGTATTGTTAATTTTGTTTTGCGTAAAACTAAACATGAAGCAGTGTGTGTTTTAGGGCATTGCTTCATTTGTGATGGACCAGACATTAGCGGTCTGCTGCTGGGAGCTCTGTTCAATCAGTTTTTGGCAATGTTTTGAAGATGTTCACGTAGCGATACCAAAATCTTATGAATGATCATAATTTTGTTTTGAAATATTCAACTTTGTTCAGCTATGTTATAAAAATGTATTAATTCTCTTTTGACTTCTTGACAGGGTGGACATATACTTTATCTAATTACAATCAATTCATAAGAAGTGTGGGAGCTTGACCACCATGCATTTACAACAGCCAAAGGTCAACTTGAGACTAGGGACATGAAATTTGAGTGGAAAATCATAACTTTTCGGGGGAGAAATCATGATGTCTCAAAAGCACTTATTGACCCAAATTATGCCATTCCAGACACAATAAATAATAATAAATAAATAAAATAAAATAAATGAAAAATCCAGCAGAATCGTTCTGGGAACGTTCAGTCCTATTGTAGAGCTGACATGTCATTTTTGAAGGTAGCGAGGCGGCTGATTCTCTCCTTGTATCACACAGTTTGTTCCATTCTGATGATGCTGATAATGACTGAACGTTTGAAAAAGTTACTTAGTTGGCAAGGAACTATAAAACATGTAGAATAAGGACATTTTGATGAGATGTCGATACGCCAAAGTATTTATTGTTCTCATATGCATCGTTTGTCTTTTTTCTTCTTTGCTGATTAACTCTGAGCTCTTCCCATAATCCAACACTATAACCTAACACTACAAGACAAGTGTGAAAAAAGTAACTTAGTGACTGCGATTATAATCAAATCTTCATCTTTCACAATAATGTTATGGCAGCAGTAACTCTTTACCTGTTGAGCTCCCTCTGAAGGTCCTGCATGTAGTGATGACACTGAGCATAGTAAGTAGCCTGAGCCTCTGCAAAATCCTGCAAACAACGCAGGTGGTTGAGCTGAGGAGAGAAAAGAAAAGATGAACTCAGAATGACAGGAATATGCCCAGCAGTACACAGTGACAGTTTGCTTCATCATGATTTTTTTTTGTTTTTTCACAGCAGTTAAAAGGCATCATCAGATTGCACTGATTTCTGAACAGAATTTATAAAGGAACCCTCTGAACCCCAAAACCCTCTGGTGCTTGTAAAAGTTATCTAAAAAACCTAAATAATATTTTGTACACCATTTATGAGAGCCAGAAACTATAAAAACAAAGGAACATCCAAAAAAGAAAAAAAAATCTGTGCTCCTCAGCAAAAACGGAGAAACAATTGCTTAAGTTGGCCAAAAAGTAACATTCCATTCAGCTGAACTGCAGGCTGTGTTTCCACAGAGTAGAGAGGAGGCAAGTATGGAAACAAATGAAAGAGACTAAGAGAAAA